TGGAGGTGGAATGGTTGAAGAGTATCCTGAAGTTGTGCTTCTCTTTCTGCAGACTGTACCGCACGTTTAAGGATAATAAATATGTGTACATGCTGCTGGAGGCCTGTCTGGGTGGAGAGGTGTGGAGTCTGCTCAGAGACAGGTAAGAGAATAACACCCACACTGACACATGTTCTCTTTCTTTTCATGCTCCTTTAAATGTCTGAGCTTCAAACAGTCTTTATTTAAAATCTCACTAGAGAGGGGTTTATTTACATCCATGTAGAGAGGGAGGAGATGCAGCGTGTATCACTGAGACCTGTATGAGAAATCTCAGTCAGTCTCAAAGCTAACCAGTAAATAACAAACACAAGCTGCCTCACGTTCCTCTTTAAAGTCTTTATATGTGATGTTTCACAATTAAATGTAGAAATCAAGTATATCCTCTGAAAATAACTCTGTGAGTCATGACTGTCTACAATGGGTGTAACACCCGAGTCCCACTGTCTGTGATGTTTTCAGAGTTTTCAGAGTCCTATCTTCACTTTGTTTACATCGCCGGGACGGCCGGCTGACTCCTCCCCTCGTGTATAAAAGTTGTTTAATTGAGGGACTAGAGAAAAGAAGAATAACATACTGTACTCACTGCTTAACTGTGTTTCTAGATCACGCTCATTTCAGGTAAATTTACATGCAGTGTGAAGATACCAGCATAATAAAGATCACTAGCATTAGCATGCTAACACAACAATGCACCGCAAGTTGTTTTGGTTTCATTCTGGTGCTCAAGGGCGACACCTGCTGGATCAAAAAGTCACATATAAAGCCTTTAACAGTTTAAGATCTCAGCTTTAAGTTTGATTTCCTCTTTCTCGTCTTCAGGGGAAGTTTTGACGAACAGACGGCTAAATTCTGCGTGGGTTGTGTCACGGAAGCCTTCGATTACCTCCATCGAAAAGGTGTCCTCTACCGAGACCTGAAGCCCGAGAATCTGATGCTGGACACCGAAGGATACATCAAACTGGTGAGTGTCCAGTAAGAGACTGAAGGAACGCTGTGCAGAAACATTCAAACAGCTTAGCCAATCAGAGTCTGAATCTATTAACCAACCAAACGGCAACATGCCAACAGATCCACCTCATCTCCAGCAACAGGAAACATAAAACCCAGTTTTTTTGTCGCTCAGGAAGTATGACACCGTTGTTGGAGCCGCCATGTTTGTTTTGCTGATAGGTCACTTGGCTGAGGCGGTGCCTGCACAGATAGTCGGTAACTGTCGGAGGTGTGTACATGCAGCAGTGTCCTGTTTTCTCTCAGAGTTCTCCAGTTAGCAAAATCTTGTTTCTCTAATTTAAGATAAGGGCTTATCCCGGTGTCTGGATCAAGAACTGGATCAAAACCGGGGTCCTGAAGTCCATGTGAACAAACTCGACGTCACAGAGCCCAAAAGTTCTCTTTCTACCTTCTTGGTTTGAAGAATAAATTGTTCACAAATGATCAAGCTAAACTTTCTCCTCAGAGGGTTTTAAGATCTTATCTCAGTGTGAAGTTCGTAAAGATGGTGGCTTTTAAAGAGGTCATATTCTGCCCTTTTTGGGGTTCGTATATTTAATCTATGTACCTACTTTTGTACGTTCACAATAGATAAAGTTAAAAAAAAGTGTCTGTTTTCATGTACTGCTCCTCCTTGCTCCCTCTACGCTCTGAGTCCGTCAGCTACACTCTGTTGAGCCCACACTGTTAGACCCCACGTGGGCCAAGTCTGCTCTGATTGGTCTGCAGATCCGCTCTGTCGTTATTGGTCAGTTGCTCAGCACGCTTCTCGGAAATTTCAACATGAGCTCGCAGGGCCACAACGAGCCAATGGGCTTAGATCAGTGATATCACACTGACAATGACGTCGGACTGACACATTTTTATTGAAGGGGGCTAGAACCGAGCGTTACATGCAGCTAATGCTACAGCTAACAGGAGGACGTAGGAGAAGCTGCGTTTCCGTGGACTTTGAATTTTTGCACATAGATGTGTCTAAACATGCACAGGACACATGGAAAACACACTAAAGAGCATATAAAACCAGAAAAAGAAGAATATGGGACCTTTAAGTTCTCCAGCTGATGTTTCAAAGTGAATTGATCCGATGTTTCCTTTTTGAATCTCAGGTGGACTTTGGTTTCGCCAAGAAGATCCGCTGTGGGCAGAAGACGTGGACGTTCTGCGGGACGCCGGAGTACGTGGCTCCTGAGATCATCCTCAACAAAGGACACAACTTCAGCGTGGACTTCTGGTCTCTGGGCATCCTGGTGTTTGAGCTGCTCACAGGCAGGTGAGTCCTGGAGATCCAGATTTCAGTTTCTAAAAATCTCATTTACTCGTTGACTTGAAATGAGTTTTACTGCAAAGCTGATTTCCAAACTGACCTCAGCTGACGTTGTTTTTGTCCTTAGTCCTCCGTTCTCAGGCAGCGACCAGATGATGACGTACACGTTCATCCTGAAAGGCATCGAGAAGATGGACTTCCCCAAAAAGGTCACCAAGAGACCCGAGGACCTCATACGCAAACTGTGCAGGTAAAGATCACCGAGATGGAGTAACATTCAAACCAGTGTCAGCCGGCCATTAGAGGGTGCTAAGGTACCAACCAACCAAGGGCAAAGTAAATATTCTGTAGTTCTTGAGTTAAATGTTTAATCTGCAGTAACAATGTAGATTTAAAACGTTCTACGTGTCTAAAGTTACTGATTGGTGACGTTTTTAGACTCTAGCGTTTCGGGCCTCCATTGACTCTCATCATAAGTTGCACATGCTCAGTTGCTCCTCTTCCAAACAAGAGATGGGAGCTTTAATGAGGCAGGAAACACATTACACACCACCGCCCAAAAGGAGGCAGCAGAGGGACACGTCTCATGAGCTAGAACATAAAGAGCAAGTCATGCAGCGTCACTGGATCAGAGCATTGATTCTTTATACAGACCAATCAGAGCAGCAGACCAGACTAGCATGAGTCAGCAGTTTTTTTAAGTTTGTCTTCACAGAGTTTGGAAAACATATACGTATGTCTGTAAGTGAAATACCTTTGATTTGAACAAAGCCTACATGAAAAGTAAATTTCAGTAACTTTCCATGCTGCTCTGTTTTCCAGGAGAAACCCCGCGGAGCGTCTTGGCAACCTGAAGAACGGAATAACAGATATCAAGAAGCACAGGTGAGACGAGACTGAGTCAGTTTGTTGTTGATCTCATTTGGAAGTTTAGCTGAGTAAATTAGATCTGATTGAATATTGTTAATTTGGACCAAAGGTTCAACACGAACATGAACACACTTGAAAGAAATTCAAAAGCCTCTTCTTGTAGTCTGAAATCTGTCTTCACTTTATGTTTCTGAAGGTGGTTTAATGGTTTTAACTGGGAGGGTCTGAAGGTCAGGACTCTTCTATCTCCACTGAAGAGAGAAGTAAGTTCATATATTTATACAAACCTGTAAGACGGAACCTTCAGACGGATCAGAATAAAACAAATGAATGTTGAAACATTTTCAAACCATTATAATGACATTTGGTTTTGGTTGCCATCTTGTTTTTTACTTTCAGAAGTGACCATAACTGATTGAGACGATTAAAGCTGGAGAGGAATGCTAAAATATCTGCTAATGCTAATGCTAACACTAGTTTGGTTCGGAAGTTTAATCTCTAAATTAACTTTAAACGCAAATGCACGTTACATACGGACTCATTAGTTTCTCTGTATGACCAAATTCTAAACAAGACAATTTATAGGTGGCAATAGAAGCCACTTGTCAATCACAGGTAGCCCCGCCCCAAACTCCTCCCCCACTTTCTGGTCTCTGTGACTCTAAATGGGACCATAACTTACTGAATGAACATCATGTTGTGTTGAAGAAGACTTGAAACTAGAGATTAAGACCTCAGTCAGGAGGAGGAACATTTAATCAAAGACTTCTGTACAACCAGACGCCCCCTGCTGGCCATTAGAAAGAAGGAAACCAAAAGGCTCCGCCCACAGAAAATCACAGATGGCTTTGTACTTGTTAAGGTGAAAACAGTCAAAATGTGCATTAAAACCACCACTGCACTCTACGTGAATCTGGTATAACATTTGATTTCATGTTACATTACTGTATCGAGCGGTCTGGGAGCAGCTTTAATCCTTTATGTTCTCCCTCGTTCAAACGTTGGGTTGCTAGGTACTGTTTTAAAACAGATTTTTAAATCTAGTTGTTATCTTATAAAGTCTCTCACCTTTACCGCTCTCTCACCGTCCTCCTTCTTCCTAACAGCTCAGCGGACCCACAGATCACAGTTACTTCGACAGCTACCCCCCAGATGAAGACTCCCCCTGACGAGCTGTCTGGTTGGGACATGGACTTCTGAGACCTCCTGCTCTGTTCCTCCTTCGTTTTCCTTCCATTGCACAACAAAATCAAACAAAAACTCAAAGTGCATAGCGGGTTTTTGGACTTTCCTCCAGCTCTAGGCGGAAGCAGCTGCAAAAAGACAAAAACTTTGAGGAGCTGCTTGAAGATTCTCCTTTAAGTCGGACTGTGGAGGTGAAAAGGTCATTTTGGTAAAGTTGTCAGATTGGGAACAAAAGAACAACGTGCTTATAGTGGTAGAGTTGTGTTGATATGAAACGTTATGGCCTAACAACACGCAATGTGACTGAGCGGCAGCAACAAAATCTTTGATTCAGCTTTGATATTTGACTCAGTTGTTGCACAGGCCTCCACAAATAAACCAAAGTACGACTAACAGTGAACAAGCTAACAGTCCAAGTTTGGTTCTTACAGACTCAGCTAGCTGCTATCTGTTGCTAACTTTCAAATAACATGTGGTTGTAAAAAGCGGAGCTCAGACTTGTTGGACGGTCTTTTAGTCCAATAAAGCTCACAGAGAGAGACAGATAGTCTGATATTTACATGAACAAATCTCCAAAAGGCTCCAACAGCATGGCCCAGAGGTTAAAGGTCAGTGACTGAATTAGCTGACAGCTAGCAGCTCCCACCTTTCACTGAAAGAGGCCACGCCCCCTAATTCTACATCCCTTTAAGCCTTAATATAATGTAAACAAGTGAGTTGTATAAACATTCAGCCCGTACAGTTGAAGAGAGAAATGAGCTCTAGAGACCCAAACTGTTTTTGTACCAGGATGTAAACATGTTTATTTTAACATAGAGCTCTATGGGGACTGGCTCACTGCAGGAGACAGACTCTAGTGGACACTGGAGGAACTGCAGCTGTAAAGTTAGACATTTTAACATAGAGCTCTATGGGGACTGGCTCACTGCAGGAGACAGACTCTAGTGGACACTGGAGGAACTGCAGCTGTAAAGTTAGACATTTTAACATAGAGCTCTATGGAGACTGACTCACTGCAGGAGACAGACTCTAGTGGACACTGGAGGAACTGCAGCTGTAAAGTTAGACATTTTAACATAGAGCTCTATGGGGACTGGCTCACTGCAGGAGACAGACTCTAGTGGACACTGGAGGAACTGCAGCTGTAAAGTTAGACATTTTAACATGGGTCTCTATGAGGACTGACTCACTGCAGGAGACAGACTCTAGTGGACACTGGAGGAACTGCAGCTGTAAAGTTAGACATTTTAACATGGGTCTCTATGAGGACTGACTCACTGCAGGAGACAGACTCTAGTGGACACTGGAGGAACTGCAGCTGTAAAGTTAGACATTTTAACATAGAGCTCTATGGGGACTGACTCACTGCAGGAGACAGACTCTTGAGGGACTGCTGTTTTTGGGACTTCTGTGTTGGCTTCATTTTTCAGCCTCCGTAAAGCTTTTTCAATCCAGCTCAGAATTTGTCTGCGGACAAAACCTTTAAGAACAGTTACAAACCTTAATCTGATTTTCCTAATGAGATTAAGACGTTTTTACATTCCTAAATAAATCCACGCCAAGATAATAATCTTTTACAGATACCTCTGAATATTTGTTCTCTGTGGCCCAGATGTGGTATAGTGTCTTATGCAGCTGCAGCAGTCTTTATTTCTCACAGCTGACAGAGTTTGTCAGTACATCTGCAAACTGGAGGGAGGAATAGAGGTGTGTGTGTGTGTGTGTGTGTGTGTGTGTGAGGAAATGTGTGTGGAGATGACTCTGCAAAAAGCCAAAAGAGTCTGTCGGAGAGGAAATTCTAGTGAACTGCTTCGACAGCATCCAACCACAAAGCACTGCTAACCCAAACACCAAACATTTGTGCCAACAGTGTGATCCCTGCAGTCGCTCCAACAGCAACAAAAAAACATGAACAGCTCTCAGGCAGAGAAACGGTGTGTGGCTGTCCCACAGGAGGTCGTCTGACCTGCAGGATGATTTACATTCTCAAAGCCGTTTTTTAAGGAGAAGTTGTGTTTGGTCTGAGGGTGATGATCAAACTCAAGAGCGAGAGAGAGAGAGAGAGAGAGAGAGAGAGAGAGAGAGAGAGCGAGAGAGAGAGCAGGAAACCTCCTTAAACACACGAGTGAACGGTTACAGAGAAGCGACTGTCTGTAAATACTGTAAAACTGTAAAGCACAAGTAAAACAAACATACCGTTTATGCAATGAGTTCACTTTTTCATTACATACTCCTTAAAACTGGGCGAGTGTACTCTGTAAATATATATATATGTAAACATTGACAGGTGATTGTGTGTGTGTGTGTGTGTGTGTGTGTGTGTGTGTGTGAGGAGAAGCTGTGGCCTTAAGATTAAGATTTCAGGAAACAGCTGGGTGTCCAAATGAAAGAACGGCTGTGTCTGAAACCGCAGACTTTCATATTATTCACACTCAGCATGACGTCACATTGAGTTTGATCTGAAATCATTGTGTGCATTTTTATGTTTGTGAAATACTCGGATGATTACAAGATAGGCCCCACAATGCATTGCTGCTCTCAGACTGACCAATCGCAGAGCTAGCCAGCAGCATGCATATTAAAGTAACCGTGCTGAAAAACAGTTGACATGTTGCCAAGTTGTATTAGTAATGAACGTTTGCATATTGTTGTTGATTATATTTATGGACCAACGGTCGGGCTAGCCTGATGCTAGCTCAACGAACGGAGCTCGGACCGGAAGTACGTGTGTTGCTAACGCCATGCTAACAGTTAGGTCAGCATCTATATTCTAAGTGTGTGGTAGGCAGTGTGTAGTTTGTGGTTTCGGACACAGCCAGTGAGTTTCTGTTTTACCAAACTCTGACTTTTGCAGCTGAATCAGATGATGATTGTTGTCGTTTCTTTTCTTATATTATGATGGCTGCATTTCTTGAACATGTTCATTTCTAAAACATTTAGTGTTTGTGACAGACAGAATCTTATAATTTGCTCAACAACATAAAGACAAATTATTAAAATGTTAAAACTCATAAAGAGTGGGGAGTTTGATTTGTTTTTGTTTTGTCGCCTCGACCGCAGCAGAAAGAATCGAACAGTCTGCACCCTCCTATTTAATCTATTGCAAGTTTAGTTGTTATCGTCTAGGATAACTTTAAGATACCTGGGGTCTACAAATGTGTCCGGCCCCCCGGCACCTCCCAACAGATGAACTGTACATGTTTTTATGTAAATCATTTTTGGCAGTAAGTGAAAGTTGTTCACCAACACATCAGATGAACTGTCATGAGAGGCATTCTTTCCAGTTTTGCTAGAGGAAGGGGAAACACATTTCTTTAGTATTTTATCTTTCTTTGCTTGCTGCTTTTTGACTTTGAGAGTAATTCAGGTTGAAAAGAAATCCTCGACTCGTCTGCAGATACGTCTGCATACTTTATTCTTTTCTTTGAATGATCGGAGAGGAGGCTCGGAGCTCAGAGGAGGAGACCTTTAAACAGCTCACCACACTTTCACATCAGAAGAGACAAATGTCCGTCACAATATAAAAACCATCCACGTGTCAGAGCTCTGGCCCCTCCCACTTTTGTTCAGACCACACCTCTATAAGATATGCAACATACAGAAAATAAATAGATGCATGTTAAAGGTAATTTCCATATACAAATATATTTTATGAAGCTTATCATACAAGCGTTTCTTTTTTCACTGACGGCATCACATTTTACAAAATGAGACTGAACAGTGAAGTAAAGATCCTGAAAGTTGAAGTGTCTTTGGTTTTATCACTCCAGAAGACTCAACGTTTAAGACCGAGTCTCTGATGCAGCAGAGCAGACGCCTCCAATACCACTCGACACCAGTCACCAAGTCTGTGGCGATCAAAAGAATCCACTCGACAGCGTGGATTGATAAAATCTGTATTGGCAAAAAATGATGACGCACAACCTGCAAAAAGTGTCAGTACAAAATTTAAAAAAGGTAAAAAATCTGACCCTAGATGTGGACGTGAAATAAACGCCTCTGAAATCTCAAAACAGTGAAATATTTGAAAAGTTCCTCTGGCGAAGTCGGTTTGACTTTGACTGAGTCGCTCTGAACAGGCCGATACGGTGGCTGGGAAGTTCAAACCAAAAATGACAAAATGTAAAGTGTTTAAATTTTTGGACATTTTAATATTTTATAGACCAAAATTACAAAAGCAGACACACTTTAACAAAAGGACAAAACCAATTTACAAGATGAGAAACATTTTTATGAGCGTTAACACATTTACAATCGACAGAATCTTGCCGGAAATAGAATTGACCAAATGCTGGATGTGTTTGGCCCTCTTATGGTGGAAGTAAGTAAAGCATATTAAGATCATAACTCATTCATTGGGCCGCAGTAGCTCAGTCTGTAGGGACTTAGGTTGGGAATCAGAAGGTTGCCAGTTCAAGTCCCGGCACGGACCAAGTGCGGAAATTGGCCTGGTAGCTGGAGAGGTGCCAGTCCACTTCCTGAGCACTGCTAAGGTGCCCTTGAGCAAGGCACCTAACCATGTCCATAGGATCCGGTTTGTGTGTGTGCATGTGTGCATGTGTGTATTTCAGCCTATGATTGTGTAGCATGTTTACTAGACAGAGTGTAAAAACGAATTTCCCCTCGCAGGATTAATAAATTATTTATTTATTATGTAGAACAGCTTCCCCAACTTACTATCAATAAGCAGGAATTAACTTTCACCGTACGGCTCCACTGGTTCTGACGATGGATATCACTAACGCTTTCTATTCATTTCCTTTGGAGAGCCGGAGAGGCAGTGGCGCAGTGCATGTTGGGATCATTGCGGCGAGTTTCGAGAAGGGCTCGAAATGGGTCCAAGGACTGCCCGGACAAGCCGCGCATTTATCAAATCAGCTGCATTCATTAAGGCTATGTCACCTATCGCGTAACCAACAGTTCCTGTAGAGATCCAGGAGAAAATCAGAACAAGCCCACTGGTACAAGCAACCAGTGTGATGCTAATTAGCATGCTAACAAGCATGGTAAATATTCTGACCTTAATTTAAAGGGTTACCCAAATTTCTCACAGCCTTTCCGCCAAAACAAACTAATTGACCGCTCACTCAATCACTTCCGGGTAACTTCCGTGCATTTGGTACATTTCCAGCAAGATTCTGTTGTTTGTAAAATTATTTCACACCGTGTAAACTTGTTTTCCAAAATGTTTCAAGCCTTGTCAGTGTTTCACACTCTGTAAGTTAGTTTTGCACTTCCAAGCCACCGTAGCTGATGAATCAAGCCCAGACTTTTAGAAAAGTATAAATCAAACCCTTCAAAAGGCACCTCAAAGAGACAATAGAGTGTCATCAGCATACGGTCGAATCTTTACAAACAACACTGTACAAGTCTATAGAAAAAGAGTTGGTGCTATATTTGCTCTGAATAAATATTTTGTTTTATGAGTTGTGACATCAAGCGACCTTATGACCGACTCTATACAGTAATAATAAAGGCTTCTGCGACTGTAGGACAGAACAGTTCCACCTGATTATTTTATATATTATTAGTATAGTTCATAGCTTGTATTTGTTTTATTTTTTAAGCCACCATGAAGAACTTCGGCTTTGTGTGCTGTAAACTGCCTCGCCTGACTATCACCTGTAGGTGGCAGCAACAGGCGTTAAAATAACCATCAATAAAGAATTTCATCTTCTTCACATTGGTCTAGTTTGCTTTTGAAGGTCATATAGTGGCATCACTAAGTCATTTAAACACTCAGAGGGGTGATGTTGAGACTTTCAGCTTAATTAAAACAACTAGACGACATCTTATTAAAACCAAAGACTGTATTTAAGGTCCTGTGTTCTTAATGAACGTCAGATTTCGAACGTCGATTTTTTGGCCTCTGCCTTTTTTTGATCAGACAGCTGAAGAGACAGGAACAACAGGCAGCAAAGGGCTAAGGTCGGATTTGAACCCACGGCAGCTGCAACAAGGACTATAGCCTTCTTACAGGGCTACAGGGCTTGTGCGCAACAAGTCTTTTTCTGTTTGTTTGTGAAATAAAAAACGGGTCAGTGTTTGGTTGTTTTTCAGCGTTTAAAAATACCCCTGGTGGTGAAATATACAAACCGTGCATTCAAGACTTCGTATCCATATTTGTTGTCATAAATGCTAATTAGCAAACACCTTGTTTATTTTGGTCTTCTCATTTCAAAATAAAAGCTGTTGGTGGTTAAGCACACGGACCATATGAGAAATGAATGTCGCCATTTAGAGGTCACACATTGATTTGGAAATCAACCTTTTGAAGCCTCGAGTTTCATATTTTTTCCGTCCCAATTTTTGGTATTCTGTAACCAAGAGTGCCACATTTCTTAATTTCTATCTTTGTTTGGATTTTAAATGCTGTCTATTTACTGACTTACTCTTTGTTGTTAAAATTAGATTTCTAAGATCATTCTTGCAAATTATAACTCCAAATTATAAACACCATTCTATGTATTATATTAAGAACCATGTAATGACATCATGTAATGTAACCTTTAATAACACAAAACAACAAGTTCAGCCTGATACGAGGCTTTTAGAATACACCAGCACTGATCCTCAATGACTATCACCGCCTACGAAGGTCAAACAAAGTCTTCAATAATCCAACAAAGCGTTAAGTCACTCTAATAGTCCTGTGATTTAACATGGTTGTTTAAAGGTCACATATCCTCTAAACATGTGTGTGAAGTTTCTTGTTCTAAATCCACTCTGATCCTGTATTTGATCATGTCTATGAACCCCTCTATTTCAGCCCTGCTCAGAACAGGCTGTTTCTGTGTCTGTACCTTTAAATATGTAAATGAGCTGTGTATGACCACGCCCCCTCTCTGGAAGGGCTCGGGTGTACTCGGTGCTTTCTCGCTCCAAACGGTTCATCGGTTTCAGGAAAATCTCCAAACGGCCTGTTTGAGCACACATTTTCTGAAAAGTGGAGCAGGCAGAAGACGGAGAGGATGGACTTTTCTCAACATTGGGGTTTTTTTAGACAGACTAGAGACACATATTTGTGTTCGAGGAACATGGGGAAGTGGATTTTGAATATGTGACCTTTAATGAAGCAGTTTTTTCCGTTTTCTTGCCGAGTTTGTACATGTTCTTGCGAAGCGATGGTTTAATGGATCGCCTACCAACACTAACTGTAATAATAGAACCACATATGAAAAGTAGCTTACTCTTTTTCTTATAATAAAACTCTGTAAATGTGTTTTCTGTACAACAAAGGAGCAGTGATCCTAACACCGACGTGTACGCCTCTCTGTCCCGCCTGCATCAAAGTTCTGGCTTTGGAATCTAATATATCTCTGTATAGCAGCCAAGCCAATAATTATACAATAACTTCTCATATAGTGAATAACACAGTGATAGTACAGACATAAATACATACACAGAGTAACAAAAACCATGCAAGTGCGAGTCTGACTTGGTGGTAAAAACCAAAGACAACTTAAAGCTGTGGAGGAACGAGGCCAACGTTCAAACTGACCGGAGCTTCCTCCAGTTTTTGTCTCTCTGATGCCTCGACAGGTTTTTTATGTGGGAAGTAAGTTCATGCTTGCCGTCACCCCGCCATTGTCCAACAAATCACTCAGCAGGGGTGATCCAATCAGAGTATGGCAAAGGGGAAACAGTGGTGCAGGATGAAATTCCAGGTACCTTGAATACGATCCGTTCGTCGTCCTGAACAGTTTTCTTTCCACCTGGAGCATCAGGAAGTTCTCTCCTCCAGTGCAAACAGTGAGTGTTGTTCAGTGGGTGTTTGTAAGGGAATATGTGTACGACTGAAGAAATGGGAAGAGACAGTTTGATGGGGTTTGGCGGCTTTTCTGTACGGGAGAGATCTGACGCTAACGGGATTTTAAAAAACTATCGACACGCGCAGGAGTCCACGGTCATGTTGGGGTAAACCTTCAGTACCACGTTCTTGTCCTCGTCGAAGAAGAGGATGCTGAGGGAGGACATCTTCTCCGGGACGCAGCACGGCTCGGGGATGCCTGGGACGACGCCCACCGCCCGCACTATACTCTGGATGGTGGCGTGGTTCGACGGCTTCAGAGCCTAAAGCAGAGAGACAAAAGCGGTTAAACAAGATCCTTAAATCACAACCAGGAACTTTAAACAGATGGTTCTACTTTGATGATCTACAGAAGTAATAATAATGATAATACATTTAATTTGTAAAGTGCGTACTGTGTACACATTTTTGCAAAAAAAATCTCAAAGTGCTACAGGAAAAAAATAAAATAGAAACAAAAACAAATTTTTATTTAAAAGTAAAAGATAAGTATCAAAAGTAAAAGTAAACTTCAAAAAAAGTGTCTGCACAAAAAAACGATGGTAGGATGGATGGACCACCACCACCGCTGACCTCATTGCCAAAAAAACCTTTAGAAGCGCCGACCTTTTGCATGCACAATGGACATAAACTACATCCCCCATGGTGCATCAGTGTCCTTTTGTTTATGTTTGATATCTGTTTTATTTAGATACTTTTGGCTGGCAGAAAGTGTCATAAAGCAGAAGAAGAGGAACACAAGCGGAGAGACATTCTCTGCAGACGATGCAGTTTCCTGTTTGTTTTTGGACCACTGTGCTTGCCGTAATCGTGCATGCATTGACTTTCTTGTTCTGTTGTGGGATAATTAACGACATGTCAGATCAACTTGGCGCCGTATTCATTGGTTAATGTTATTTTGATTCTTGTCTGGCCTGCTGAAAGTCTGTCTAATTATGTGACTGCTCATTTCAGCTCCATCTGACTTTGTCACAGTGATGTCATTATCTGGATACTTCTATAGAAACCATTCTTTCATGTCTTATTTCTATCATATCCTATCAAATAATGTTCAAAGCAAAGGAAATAAGTTCATGCTAAATGTTTCCATCTTGGGTCATGCAGAGCACATTGTATCTTTGGGTATTAGCATTAGCATCCAGTCTTTGGAGCCAACGAGCGGCTGCAGGTCGCTTCAAGTCAGAGTCCAATAAGAGAGAGGCGTCTTCCCACACAGCGTTATGACCCCGTCAGCTTTTAACCGTAGTTATTAAGCAGCTTCTGAAGCTTCAGCCTGACAAAGGAGATGGAGGGAGGAGGGGGCCGCTTTACGCCCCAGGCTCTACTCCTGGGACTAATTACATCCGACTACAAAGGCGGCGACTCCGAGGTAATGAATTAAGTGGATGGATCTCGTGCATTCCGGCCATGTTTAAAATACCTGTGATGTTATCTTGTTGACGGGGGGCCGCGAGCTGCGAGGGGGAGCGGATGTTTCCGATCAGAGGAAACTCTCTTTGTTACGCTCTTCTTTGTGTTCTTTTTGGCCTTCCAACCCGAGGGTGATGTTTTCCTGCACAGAGGTGAAGCTGGCACGCGCTACAGCCCGACTTCTTGTTTTTCCTCCAGCTCATAAAGGTCCAGTGATTTCTGATGCCGCTGTTTTCCACCTGTTCCTCACGGCCTTTCAGATGACATCACTTTGGATAAACTCTTTTTTTATGACTTAATTTGAGCTGCAAACTCGTCAAAGACTGAACGATCTGAGATGAACTGAAAGCAGAATCACTTTGTCCTGGCAGTGAAAGATGAAAGCAGATGGCGTTGGTTTCTGGAGGTCTCTGCACCGTTACCATCTTTAATGTGAGGCAGATCAGGGACTTCTCGTGTGTGACATAATGTCATACAGAGCAGTAAACGCAGGACAACAAGATTTACAGATAGCGTGTTTGATTTACATAATATGTTCCATACAGAGTGAAGAAAACAGTGAGATGTTTAACAGATTTCTGTGCTGCATGTCGAGTTCTGGAGATGCATCATGAGTCTGTATGATGAAACCTGATTCATCAATATACTTCTTAAAGAGGCGGTGACCACCAGCTGGTCGACCATTTCAAACAGAACCTGTTTGGTAAAGGGTTCATGGTTAGAGAAAACATGCTCGACTCCTTTTCAACGACAAACAAACTGGGTGCTGAATCTCAAAAGAAAGGACAGAACGGACGTGTTCGAGCAGACGCTCTTCTTCAGCGTGCGAGAGCGTGGAGGGCGGTCCTTATTGTTTTTCTTGTTGAAACACGTGTTGGATGTTTTGTAAGGCTGTGTGCGTCGTCTCACAGCGTCATGGTCGTTCCTTTATGTTCTTGAATTCTCCTACCTTTGTTATCTTGTCTCTCATGTTGTGTTTGGAAGAACTTGTGCAACATATGTTTCGTTGTTTTGCAACACTTGCAGTAGCGGAGCGAGTGTGGGGGCAGAAGGTGCGGCCGCCCCGGGCCCACTGTTGTCTCAAGGGCCCACTGTTGTCTCAAGGGGCCCACTTTGAGCCAAATTTAACATGCATTTTGTTATCTAATTGAATTTTCGAATAAAGTTAGTTTGACTAGGTCTGAGTCTGTTTTTTCTTTTGCTGCAATCAAGACACACAATGTATTTTGTAGAGCAGAGAGGGGCCCCCCGCCACTGCCAAGGAGGTTCTCAACTTCGGCAGCAAACAGCACCAGCACGGTGCTGTGGCCTGTTTGTAATGTCATTGATTCCACCTCTTAGCACCCCCTTCGCTGGGCCCCCGCTGCTGTCTGGAGTTTTAAAAACCTAGTCGTCTGTCTGCTTTATTTCTGTTTACCTCGCTGTTTTTCGTAACATTTAAAGTGTAAAAAAATAAATAAAAAATGTTTTCTCATTGACAACTCAACCCTCAAACACTCAACCTGGCAAGTCTCCTCCCGCTGCTAGCTCCACTAACGTAAACGCTACTAGCCAAGCAAATAAACATGTTCGCGAGAGCACCCGTTAAGTCTGCTTTACTTGTTTAATCGGTGGAATATGCGCACAGACATATCAGCACTTGCTTAAACATCAGCAGGTCACTGCTGTCCCTGTCACTGTAATAACACTCTTTGTAATCTGCAGCGGCATTTCTCTTAGTCCCGCCCCGTCTTGTATCTCCATACAGCCGATATTATACCATAAATGCTATACTACATTACAGTTTAAGGGTCCACTATAGGTCCCCGCCCCCTCTGCAATGAGCCATAGGCTCCGTGTCTGAACACTTCAGCTTGTTTATTTATTTTCTAGTCTTCTGAAAACACTTTGACACCATATTCACACCCTGATGGTAGAGGCTGCTGAGTAAAGTGACCATCAGAAGTAACTCATCCATTCATACACACTCTTATGCCGCCGACAAGCAGTGGGAGCAACTTGGGGGTTAAGTGTCTTGCCCAAGGTCACATTGGACATATGTCAGCAGGAGCTGGGGGCTCGAGCGCTGTCCCTCCAGAAGTGGACCTCAGCTCATCTCTGTCATTGTGTAGAAACTACGTTGTCTCATGTCTCATTCAGCGGTCAGTAAACTCTCAGTATAAACTCCTAAAGTCATCGGTGACGAGCTTTGAGTGTGAGCTAGAGCAGGTAAGAGAGCGAGCAGGGAGACAGGGAGGCGTCTGATTGGTTCATCAGATTGGTACCTCGTGGCAGACATTGGTTGAAGTTTTTACAGACTTACAAACTGATACAGATGATGGATTTTCTTTGTTCCTTTTTCAGAGAACATGAGTTATTAATTTCTGTCAGGACCTAAAGACAATTTACACCAGAATCTGAAAAAGTGGATCTGGAGGAAATGACCGACCCTGACTTTAACATCGGCATCGGCCAAAATCGACAAATAATGTAACACGAGCCAATAGGAGTAGCCGATTCTTATATGTGGCCTACTAATTCAATGCTGATATTTGGTTGACCTAACTTCTGATTCTGGAAAGAGGTTTCCCATCGGGGAGAGGAAGTCTCCTGTTGGTCAAACGTAAAGAGAAAACTACAGCAGTGATCGAGTCTTAAAAAAGAAGTCGAGCAATCATCGGAAATGTGATCATAACGATTTGTGAAGCTCTAGAATGCACACACATTAAAGTTTGCTTTTCAATCCTGCGAGTCTCACCTTGGGCATGGGGAACTGGCAGGATCCTGAGCAGTAGTAGGCGTCAAACGACTTTGGCGATATAATCCATTCGCTCCATCCGATGTCGGCGAAGTCCACCTTCAGGTAGCGGCGGGCGCAGTTCCTCGGCTCGTTCCACTGCTTCTTCCGCGCCTTTTTAATCGTCTGTTCGTCAAACTGCAGCAGGGGCATCTTGTGCCGCTGGTTCTTGCCTCTCGTCTTTTTGCGCGGCCGGCGGGCCTGCTTGTTCTCTAAAGGTTCGTACGGACTCGCCTCGTCCCAGCCCGTCGTCTCGTACGGATACTCGGGCCCGGGGAGCTCGTTGTTCTGCAGCGGCAGCAGGACGTTCACAGAGCGTGTGCGGCGCGGCTTCCTCTGCTCGTGTTCTGTGTCGTTTCGCTCTCGAGGACGCAGTTTCTGGAGGCCGTGCGGGACGGCGCCCTCGCCTCCCACCAGGTGGCGCCTCTGCAGAGTGGCGACCACACTCTCGGGTTCGGAGATGGCCGAGTCGTTGGCGTAGACCAGGATGTACGGCGAGCGGTCAGACAGCAGCTCCTTCCAGGGCCGGGGTCCCTGCGAGACCACGTCGATCCCGATGAGGAGCTGGTCGTGGTTTTTGGCCTGGTTGACCACGCGGGTGACGTCCTTCCACTGCCACGAGATGAAGTCCCTGTACAGCGTGGACACATTGATGCGAACGTGTCCCAGAGTCCTCGTGCGGTTGTCCACGGAGGCGAAGCTCCAGACGACCATGTGGATGTGGCTGTGCCTGCGGGGCCCGTGGCGGCTCAGCGTGCTGTTGTGAAGGTCTCCGATGTAATAATGAAGAGTGGCCGACAGGACGTCCTCAGACTTAGTGAGGGACGTCAGGTTGAAGATCTGCAGCTGCTTCTGGTTTATCGTTCCTGAGGAGAGAATCACAAACACCACAGAGTTTAAAAATACGAGTTAAAAACAGAAACAAGTTCAAATGTAGTAAAAACATCCGGGACAAGTTAAACACAATTAACTCTTCATAAACTCAACACTCAACTAAATCTTTCAGTTTCAATAAACCTGATCTTAAAAACAGCCCATTGGTGTGCTCTCTATAGTGGACTTTATGAATGATTCTTACCGCTCTTTTCTGTAAAATAAATAGCGGATCAATGTTTGTGATGTAAGTGTTACCCCACACTTCAACAAAACTAAAATAAGGCAAAATAAGTGAACAGTACCTTACAATCCAAGATAAACTTTGTTTTGTTTAAAACAAAGATATTCTTGGACACTTTTTTTTTAACATGAGCTATATGTGATTTCCACGTTAACTTATCATCCATTTACTGAGAGACATTCTCCTCACACACAAACAGAAACCAGTGGGGGGGCGGCTGTAAATAAAGATGGATGGATTCATTTCCTGGACGCTCTGCAGCCGAGAGGACTCGATGAAGAACTGATTTTTTTCTCTTGTTTCTTGTCACTTTTCTCGACTAGAGCAAAAATGTGTCAAACTTTCAGATTTAAAATTTGACTTATTTATGTATAAAGCACATTTCAGCAACAAGTCATTACAAAGTGATGAAAGGACTTCGGCATGTTTATTTCTTTTCTAGTTTTTTGATGACTCTTTATTCTATCACTGTGTTCATGTTTTCAGGAGCTGAAGCCGCCTGGACTCAAGTCCGCCTTCTGCGAGTGACCCGACAGTCTGAGCCTGAAGCCACAGAAGAAGAGCCTTATCCGCAACGTCTGCGGCTTTAAAAAAGAGGAAATGTAAGACTTTGGCATGAAATACTGTCGATACAAATCGTGTTAAAGAGAAGAAATAAATTATGTTGTACTCTTTATTTAACTGACAACAAGTTGAAATAAATCGGTTTTCATTCAAAACAAGCACCGGTCAATCTCAGGTTTTATTCTTCAGCTTACTTAACTTGTAATTTCAGTTTAGTCGTTAAATCAGCCTCGGCCTGCGAGGCATCAGCAGGACGCTCTGCCACTCTGTTCAACTCTATCTGGATTATTTATTTGAATTGAAGGTATTTCTGTTTGACTCGTTATCTTAATGGCATCTGAAACTTTTCTCAAAGTTGGAAATGTTAAATTAGTTCAAATAACTTGAACACAAAATATGAAATGAACTTGTAGTTAACCTGACATGAGACGGACGCTGAAGCTGTCAGGACTGAAGTTTCTTTCTGGATTATCAGATTAATCATGGCTGTGTTTCTGGAGAGGAGACTTTGAATTTAAATACTTCAAACTTTAAGAAATACGAGTGAGATGTTGTTCATGTGTTGTTGTCTGATGGTAACAGAAACTCATTTTACCTTAAATAAAAACCTAAACTGTCTGCATGACTACAAAGCTACAGAGAAAATGTGCTGGGTGAACTGGCCCTTTAAAGGCTGTATCATAAAGCCAGCAGCCAACAGGTGGCGGTATAATCCTACAAACCTGGACCCCAAAACGGAAACTCTCTAATACTGCCCACATCAGAGTGATAAAGAGTTTAATTTAGACTTTAATAACTCAGAGCGTCTTCAGATTAAAGTTCATTTTAAAGTTTGAGACTTTAATAAATCAGCTGAGCTTCAGAACCTCAGAGAGAGCGGGGTACGGGGACGGGGGACGGGGACGGGGGACATCTCTCCGGTTCTGCAGGCTGAGCAGCTGCCGGACGCTGGAGGGAAAAATCAGAGTGAACTATCTTGACTCTCAAATCTGAAGGAGTGAAAAAAAGATCTGCTGCGGAATCTCTGAGTAACAGGTTGATCACATTTCCATGACTGGATCAACAGGTGGATTTCAGGTTCTGCTCAATAAACCAGCCCGTGAATAAACAAATGTCCCACTTTTGACCGTATCTTCTGATCTGCAGTCTTAGATATAAATCATAAATATATTTTTTGAAACAGTAAAGAGTGCGTGTGTTTGTAAGGCGCCAATATTACGCACAAAATCTGAGGCCACGCAGCTCGATGTAGTTGCAATTTGTGGATTATTTCAATAAAGCAAGGCTGCAAATGAAGAATAAATCTACTAAGAATCATTCAACATGACGTGCGCACTCTGTCTACATCTGCAAAGTTCAGTTTTTGTTATTTTGCGTAAAAGTTTGGAGACCTACCCCAGTGCGCTTTGAAACTCCGGACCGTGTTTCCGTCCTTGAAGGGAAATCCAGCTCGGTTGTACTTCGCGTAAAGCATCTGCATGTGTCCCGTCAGTGTATCCTGTAAGAGCGGGTCCTGGTCCTCCTTCACGGGCTGCTTTTTATCCACCGAGTGCGTAAAATCCACCTTCCGTCTCTCGGGGAAATTGTCCGTTTTCAGCATCGCGCAATATCCAACGCACAGATAACTCCATCCGTAAAGTAACACGAGCACAAAGCGGGGGTAGAGAGCCATGCTGGAGCCGCTGACACGCTTTAGCAGCAAGAAAGAAAAGATGGTGAAAAAACAGAGCACGTTTCCAAAAGTGGTCCCTATCTCCAAAAAGACATACCATCACCTGAGGAGGAGCCCTCTGAGTGAAAGAGAGACCATCACCTCTGACAGCACACACACACACATACACACACACCACACACACACACACACACCACACACACACACACACACACACACACACGCACACACACAGAGGAGGCTCCTGTAGTCTGGGGGTTATCCAGGAGTTTCTGCTGTCAGGTCAAAACGTGAGACGGTGAGAGAAAAGGTAAAAGTTCCAGCTGAAGGTGAAGATGCTGCAGGAGTGAGCGACGCGCTGTGAGCTGCACTCACCCGGCTCAGCTTTCAGTGAAGGTAAAGCATGTTGTGCTGGGTGTTATAGGGCGAGTGGGACCAGCTGGGTATTCCTCTCTCTCGCTCTCGCTCTCTCTCTCTCTCTCTCTCTCTCACACACACACACACACACACACACACAGAGAGAGAGAGAGAGTTTCCTGTTCCAGATACTTTTACGCACATTCAGCCTGGGGACAAATCATCTCATGTTATCAGGGGCGGGAGGAGGATTTTTTTTTTTCGGGTTATTTAAGGCGATTTAGGAAAAACATAAATAAAGGACATTCCTCCCTCAAAAAAATGAAGTGCTTTAAAACTTCCAAACGGCAGGCAGCCACAGAGCGGGCCCTCCGTGCGTCATGTGTCCGGCGCAGAGCTGTGCGTCTGGGCCGCGCTGCTGCTGAATGAAGCGGCTTACTGTCGCATTAAAGGCTCTCTCTCCTATTTAGTTTAGTTCAATGGAGTTAAGCACACACATCCTGTACCATCACGCTCCAATCCGGATGCTGTACTGTGCCCCCCACCTCCCCGCACCCCACCGTCCCCCTCAACAGCCCATCCAGGCGGGTTTAAACCCCCTATCCAGCCGCCCCCCCCCCCCCCCCCCCCCCCCCCCCACCGTCTGGGCTCCTCTTTCAGGGGCGCTCGGGAGGAAATGATTAGAGCATTTCCCCGCCCTTGGACATCTGATGGCAATAATATTAGCATGCCATGTCCTCCAGAGCGGTCAACACACTGAACAGCTTCAGCTGCACAGAGACATCACAAACAACAGCAGGAGGAAGTCAGGTGGCAGCCAATCAGAGCGTCTCTTACATTCTCACAGTCCTGCAAACAGACCTGAACGTTCAAGTACAGCAGCTTTTTACAACCTTTATGATATTTAAAATATAGCAGAGTGGGGATTGTGTCAACACTCTCAGTTACTCAAAGACCAAACATCTAAATATTAAACTTATCTGCTTATTACTCACATCATTTAAAAATAAAAAACCCAACACATGTGCAGTATTCAAATGGAAGCAGTCACAAGTTGCAGTCAAGCAGCAACCTCCAAGAAAAGATTAAGAATTGTCAAAAAGCTGCAGTTCCTCCAGTGTCCACTAGAGTCTGTCTCCTGCAGTGAGTCAGTCCCCATAGAGCTCTATGCTAAAATGTCTAACTTTACAGCTGCAGTTCCTCCAGTGTCCACTAGAGTCTGTCTCCTGCAGTGAGTCAGTCCCCATAGAGCTCTATGTTAAAATGTCCAACTTTACAGCTGCAGTTCCTCCAGTGTCCACTAGAGTCTGTCTCCTGCAGTGAGTCAGTCCCCATAGAGCTCTATGTTAAAATGTCCAACTTTACAGCTGCAGTTCCTCCAGTGTCCACTAGAGTCTGTCTCCTGCAGTGAGTCAGTCCCCATAGAGCTCTATGTTAAAATGTCTAACTTTACAGCTGCAGTTCCTCCAGTGTCCACTAGAGTCTGTCTCCTGCAGTGAGTCAGTCCCCATAGAGCTCTATGTTAAAATGTCCAACTTTACAGCTGCAGTTCCTCCAGTGTCCACTAGAGTCTGTCTCCTGCAGTGAGTCGACATATCCCAAGATTCATTTGTCTGATTTAAATGTCGATATTGGTTTGAACTCAGTTGAAAAGCTACAAATACGGTTTATTTTGGGTCTTTTTACACCTAGGACAATTGATAGAGTCAAAAATCAGACAGAGAGCATGCAGAGGAAATCTCAAACACACAAAGATGATGTGAAAGTTAAGTCTGAATCCAGCTCCCAGTTGAGTCTGAATCCAGCTCCCAGTTGAGTCTGGATCCAGCTCCCAGTTGAGTCTGGATCCAGCTCCCAGTTGAGTCTGGATCCAGCTCCCAGTTGAGTCTGGATCCAGCTCCCAGTTGAGTCTGGATCCAGCTCCCAGTTGAGTCTGGATCCAGCTCTTTACCTCATGTTGGGTCCGGCCTCAAACTAATAAAAGCACGCTTCAGTGAAAACCCCGACAGCTTAAAAGGCCAATAAAAGAAATGAAGAGGGATAAAACTATTTACAGACTCGTGATCTTCTCTGGCTGAGAGCCACAGATTGATGTTTTTTTTTCCAAAGGTTTGGTTTTCACACATGAAGAGTAACATGTCATGACATCACCTGAATGTTTGTTGCTGGTTTTCCTCTAAAGGCTGAGAGTTCAAAAAGCTGATTCTACTTTCAGAGAGGGCGGGGCTAACCGGCTGGTTTGAGATCTAAAAGGAGGCAACCAATCAGGTGGGTGTTTGATTACAACAGGCCACGCCTCCAGGGAAAATCTGAAGGAGGACAAAGAAGAACAGACACTCCTAACGAAGGTCGTCAAAGCTTTAAAACTGTGATATTTCTGTTATTTTACTGATCGAAAGTGGGGACTTAGATTTGGTAATTAATTGTTTTTTTCCCCCCAATAATTGCAAATATAAATTTCACAAATACGTTTACAACTTAAGATTGTTGACATATTTTGGATATTTAGATGGCGTGCACCGTGTAGAAGTCTACCTGCAATTATGAGGAATTCAAAACTTTTTAAAGGAGGCGTCATGAGAAGAAGACTTCTTTTCATGACGCTGTGGTATCAAACAGGTTTCCATATGATTTTAGTTTTTAATAGAATTATAATAAAGAAGTCATTTCTGGTTTTGTATGCGTGACTTCAGACCTGGACCGTCTGGCCCCTCAGACTCCGGTCTGCTCTCCAAGTCACTCAGATTCACCTGCTGGTCTCACCTGATCCAAAAGGGATTCCACACCTAACCTGCAGACTTTCGGGGGCAGAGTCCACCCCCCCTCTGGAACTCTGTATCTGCAACGCTCCAACCTTGGACCCTCTCTATAGAAACCATCTGTTCACCTCCGCTCCTGGATTTGGTTAATCGTGTTGTTTTGTGTGTTCTGATGTAAAGCGTCTGTATGAATTCAACATATTGTTATTGTGTCGCCCTCTTCCCCATCACAATCCCTCGTCCAGATTTGAATCTGTTTCTCGTACTTGTTGTTCGAGAAGAGACGTTAAAAACAGATGCAGAGGAAAACAACAATAAAGAAACAAACTCTGTTCAGCATCATCCCCTGAAACAGACCCAGAACTCACATGAAACCAGACTCCCAGCACCCGGACCCTTTAGCAGATCCAGAACATCCTCATGTCCCCCCACATGTTGAGCGTCAGTGGAAGCAGACGAACAGATGGAGGTCAGGTCAGAGCTGAGGGGCTTCAGAGCGCCATGTTTGAAGTTACCACTTTGATCACAGCAACATGTAGGAGTACAGTTTGGTGTGCTCTGGCGCCCCCTGAAGGTTTCTGAGCGCAACTGCACTGTCTTTAAAAACACGCATGATGCTGTTAGCTCCTCCCCGTCTTTGACAGCGTGCGTCTGTTGACCATCAGAGGACGGAGGTCTCAGGTTTGATCTGACAAGTCGACTCTCTCCTCGTCCATCTTCAAGTTAGCTTAATAAGTTTGAACCTTACAAACCTAGCATGCCATAAATGATCCTCTCCAGTGTAGACGTTTAGCCACGGCCTTAAGTCGTCATGGTAACAGCTGAACACACATACGCACACTCCACATGCTAACAGTTAGCTAACAACAAGCTAAAGACGCTAGCAGAGTTAGGTTTGATCTAAATCCTTTATTTCTAAACCGTGTTTCTTTAGCTTCTCGCGTATCTTTGACGACTTCCTCGCCCTCTGATGGTCAACAGATGCACGCTGTCTGAGAGGGGGAGGAGCTAGCAGTACCATGTGTGTTTTACTCTCATAGAGCTTCTGTTGTCCTCACAGCGCACCAAACGGAGTACCTACATGTCGTTGCTTAACGGGGCTGGTAGCCAGATTTGAACTGATGCTGTCGTTTCATTTGTGAAACTAATTCTTGAAGCAAATGAGCACAATTCTGTTTTAGCGTTGTGATCTAGTTTAGTCTGTTTTGTAACTTTCGTCAGTGTTTTCATCAAAAGAAACCAACGTGTTGTTAACTGAAGGACCACTGAAGATTTACATTGTTGTTAAATTAGAGGTTTGTGGCTCAGTCAAAACAGAGGAGCATTTTTAAATCCCTCCACCAGGGGGCTCTCAATGACAATAATAACAGAAGATGACATTGAGAAAGGCGGGGAATCATGGGAGTGATTCTCTGTGCTACATCCCCTACCCTCAATGAAAACCAACTCCGCGCTGACCGTAGTCATGACGACCGGGTGAAACCGACCTGAGGAAGAGAATTTGTAGCGTTTCTGTGTTTCTAGATCACGCTCATTTCAGGTAAATTTACATGCAGTGTGAAGATACCAGCAGAATAAAGATCGCTAGCATTAGCATGCTAACACAACAATGCAGCGCGAGTTGTTTTGGTTTCATGCTGGTGCTCAAGGGCGACATCTGCTGGATCAAAAAATCACATATAAAGCCTTTAAGACACATCGTGTTACAACTCTGAAATAAAGGATTTCTCTGTCGTTGAAAACTGTTGGAGATATTTAAGTTAGTGTAAAAACTCGACAAAAGAAGGTTTTAGTCCATTTTTAATAATTGAGATATTTGAAAGTAATAAAGTTCTTCATGTTGCACCTTTAAATGCTGATACGTTTATGATTGGATGTTTGTAAAACAAAGAAGCACAGCAGGCTTTTCTACTTCCTGAATCCTAAAGAAGTCGTCCATGGAGTCCCCCCTCTCCCAGAGAATGACTAATATGTCAATGATAGAGCACTTTGATGTCTGCTAACGTGTGCCTCACATCTGGGAACATGAGGAAT